ATGTAAAAGCATTTTATTGACAAAGTATAATTAAATGCACGTGTCTTAACGATAAACGTAAAGTAATGTTTTGTATTCATTTATTGTTAGTTTTGCGAGAATTAAAAGAAAATAGAATTTTGGCCATTTCATAATATGACCAGTGATTTAATCATAAAATTAAGTACACTCCGCTTTTGGTTGTTTTGTTTTAGATGTGCATAACTGCGGCAAACAACTAAAAAAAAGGCTAGAATGTAATGACACATGAGTCAGAAGGTGGTTATTTGTTGAATAAATGTCAGAAAGCGAATGACTGAAAATAAAATTCAATTTACCAATTAAAACGTTTTTTATAATAAGCAAGTAGGTGCCTGACACACGCCGTCGACTTTTTGGTTGTGAAACATGCCAGTTTCCTCTCGATGTGCCCTTCCCTTCACCGTTTAAGCGAGTGTTAAATGCCCACATAGACGGAAAGTGTATTCCAGCCGGGGTACAAACCTAGGACCTTAGAGATGAGGCACGTTAAAGCCACTGGGCCAACAATTGTTATTTCCATTTTTAGCTAGCCTTTTAATTAAATGGATGACCATAATGTGAACAAATCTACGATCTAGTGACAATATAAGGAAGTAAAAGGAAATGTATTTTCTTGTTCCGTTTCTCAATGAAACAATAACCATGTGTGGTCTCAGTCGAAGTCACTTTAAAAGACACGAACAAAGTCTTTCACGAAGCTCTTTGATAATTGTTTGGTGATTTTATACACAATGAAATTGAATAAATGTTTGAATTAATATAATAGTTATTGATACATTTATTTAGGAATCGTTATTTATATAAGAAAATAATAAAACATTTAATACTGCATTAGTTTACTTTACAATAAATAGGAAAAACAGCTTTCCGAGACATAATACCAAAACAATAAGCAATATAGTTTCGAAAGACTGAGTTCGTGTACACGTAATCCTTTTGTCCAGACAAGGGTATACTTTAGGTACAGACTAACAAAATTCTTAAAATTAATTTACTAAATCCCTCGGCCCAATCTCAAAGGAAACTGCACTTGAAAATTCTTTAAAGCACCAAAGAAATAAGTATCGTCTCAGAGGGACTCGCGCTGTCTGAGATGAAAAGTTAGGTATGTAGGTAGAGCATAGGGAATGAGGGAAGTGGGGGGGTGCACGTACGGAACTAACAGGCAAATCCAAGCACGGTACTCTTGGAGTTTATTACCCTACTCATATTTACACAATTCGAGTGGGTGTTAGCGGTCTACGCGACCGCCGGCGACATATTCCCTTTGGTCCATATTTTCCGAGTTGGAATCCATTTACAATTCTTCTTATTCTATTTGTCTGCATTGGTTCTCTATAATAGATCAAAGGGTCTACCCCTTTCAATATTATACCTTGGATCGGAATAGATATTTGCTGAATTATAACAAAAGATCTTTGTATCATATTGTACACTAATTGTTTCAATTTATCAAATTAGAATATAATAAATTTACATAAAATCATTTTATTTTTGAAGTATTTCAATGATTCTACAGTGGGCCTAACGAGATACCGAGAACAATGTACAGCCTGGTTTAATTGATTAAAGACGAACACTTTAGCGATAAACTTGAAGTTAATTAAAAGGATACAAAGGCCATAGCTTATGCTCAACGTTGCTCAATAAATTTACGAATTTATTTAAATCTATATTTTATTCGCGTAATGAACGAAGACAACAACCGCTATAAAGAACACGAGGCCAACCCGAGTGATTAAGTGTCTCATTTAAATGCAGTCTCCCGATGCCCGTCTCAAACGAAAAGGGAACGGTACCCGCGGAAAACGGAAGACGGGCTTCTTGCAAAAGGAAGAAGAGCTATTTAAATTAGCGTAGTCGCTGAAAAAGTGCACTAACAACATTAACAAATGGAACAATGGCAAAGTACACAAAGGAACGGAATACCCGGACCAACCCGTATACGTCTTCTAACTCGCTCTACAACCTTCGCGTAAGTTACTCTTATATACCAAGTACATGTAACCATTTTGCCCGCATTTCAACGTGTTCAACTCAATTCACACTAACGAACTGCTCAGAAATCTGAGGGAAAATAAATGTAAGAAAATGTTTCTTGGAATATTACGAAATTAATATTGTTGTACATTTATTTTCTTGCAATTTCCCTTACATATGTGAAAGATATCAATAACGTTATTTACCTAACATAATCTTTTTACTATCATAGGAAATAAACCTTTTCTGAAAAAATATTGCTCTAGTCAAAATTTTCAATCTGAACGGGGAACTTCGTGCCGTACGTAAATTGTAGTCTCACTCAACTCTGTCTGTATTTTATGGGTGTTGATGATAACTTACGGCTCCATTTAATCCGGTTTAAGACCGTTGAGTTCTGGAGGCCACGGCACTCCGTAAAATTACTCTCGTTTAAATTGCTTTTTAGGAACTCATCATTATAATCTAGACATCTAACACATTGTCTAGATTCTGCATCGTTATTTTACATAGAGCAGCAGTGAATACGCTTGTTTTATCGTACCTACTTTAAGTATTATATTCCTTTGTCATAACTTAAAGATGATATAATGTATCAATATGACTTAATGAACCGATTTTTTTAGTTCCTCGATATGCACACACATTATAGTATGAAAATCTGAACTTCTTGACCCAGAGAATACTTGCATTCAAGTAATCACAAGCTAGTATGAAAAAAAGTAAAAATTATATTGCATATATTAATTTGACGCAATCATTAATAGCACTTCTTTTTGGAAGCTTATTTTATATCACACATTTGTATTGTGGAACTTATTCGTCAGCTCTGAAAAAAATCGGAGTAAAAGTTAATATTATTTCCACACAGCAGTCCACAGAAACCATAATTAATCGAATTCTACTTAGTGTTCTAACTTCTAGAATCAATTTCAAAGTAGACGTTAGTTAGAACGCCTCACTGAATTAGATCCCGTTAATAGTGGATTTCCTTATCGTACTCTGTGAACCACTACGCCAATTTATTTCGAAGCTCGTTTTTTACTTTGCCGCTGTGAGGGAGGCGAAAAAGAAGATTTATTTTAAACTAGCTTTGTACGGAGCCAAAGTGGAATGTAAGATCATAATCAGGAGTTTATAGAGGTCTACGAGGCTTTTATATTTTCTAAAGTTCAGTCCTCTAATTGCCACTCAAATGGCTTTTATAAGAACTTTAGAATAGGCTCGCTTTTCTATAAAATATTTGGAGTCGCGCGTTAGAATAATTTCGCATATTAAATGTATTCATATTATTTCGTAATAACTATAAATCTAAAAGGAGGTCAAATATTTTAATACAGGGTCAGGAAAGCATTGTCCCTGTGAAGTTAAGGGCAGTTCGGTTAATCCGGCGCCGCCCAAACAAATTAGGAACAACATTAATATATCCTCTGTATCCTACAACTTCTCCGCAATAAGCAAAATGTATTAGTGTTATTTATCTTAGCTCGAGCGCCAACAAAGTTTTAATTGCAAGCGCCGATACAATTTGCGTACAAATGAATTTATTCGCTGAATTCGTAGTGCAGTCGTGTGCGAAGCTCTGCGCTGGTGGCAATAGCGTTAGGGCGGGCGGCATGCGGCACGGTGTTGGGCGGGCGCCGCGAAAGCGCGGATTATCCGCGTGTGTGCTGCCGCTAATTGCGGACACTGACAGACCGAACAATACGACAATATATGCACATTAACGTACATCACAACTGGAACTATCAACTTCGTGTATTCGGTAAATCGAGTTCGAATACAATTCCTTTCAATTATATCGTGTAAATATTTGATCTAGTAAATTACGTAGTACAAACAGATTACATATAAAGGCTCGATCACGCCCAGCAAGGCAATGCGGAGATTACAATTCTCGTTCGGCCCGTCCGATACCATCGGACTTTGCTCCATTCGCTGCAATTAACGCCGCACAATGACCATATAAATCTCCCCTGAATGCTGTGCTCATTCTATACTGAGCTGAACGGGGATCGACAGTTTGTTTATGTGTGGTCGCTGCAGATAGGAAACGAAGAAAACAATCAACCTAATAGGTTATAGAAAAATATCGGGATTTATGGCAAACAATAAACAGAATGATTGTATGAATTATATGACCACTTAAGTCCCTGCATAGATAAGGGCGTCTGTTCTTGCCTATACGTCTCGAGCCGTAGAACAAACAAGCTACGAGCGGAGATTACGCTCAGAATAAATCAATGTTACGACGCGTTAAAATATTTAAGCTCACGATTAATGCTGAGCGCGAATATTCGTCTTATCGAAACCAACCGCGCTCGTCGCAGCTGTTCAGGCTTCCAATGATTGTCGGATTGTAAAACATATTAATCACTACAATCTGTGAAACACTATTTTATGCTTCGAAATAATAAAGGATTCAACGTTAAAGCTTTTTCTTTGTGATTGGTTTTATTCAATGGATTAATTTATTTTTAAGTTATAATTAATTGCAATTACAATAACTTTAATTCATTTTGGTATGCTTTTACACAATATTGTGTTTATAACGTATACACGAAAACGTAGAAGATACATCTTGCCATACGGAGACAATTCAAATAATTAAAATATATTATGATTATTGAATAGTCGTTATGCTATCTTATATACCTTCTATAATGCATCGAATATTATTCAGTGATGTTTTTTTGATAAATAAACAGAAATTATATCTACACACTAGAGTGATGTTTTTTTGATAAATAATTATCTAATAATGTATATATTTTATATCTACACACTAGAGCTACATATAATAAGGACTGTAATTAATCTAAAATGTAACAAAATAATTAAGCCTAAATGTACCAATCCTTAAGATAATAAATCAAAATTAAATTTATTTTTAGTGGTACGTAAATTACCGAATAAACTCGAAATTTTATCAAACACTTTCCGTAGCAGGTATAATTTCGATATAGCGATATAGGAGGAAGTAATAAAATAAAACGATTTTACATCTCGGAGGGAAACGAACATTTTTGTAGAATGGGAAAACTCGCGAGCGACTTCTCATTTCGCGATAAAATCGGGGACGTTTTACGACAATCTCCTATTCGATTCCCATTAAGCAACAATCTTAAAAAACTTTCGGTGATCTAAACCGTTTACCTGAGTTTTATTACTAGAATCAAATGTTCTCTAGTCCGTATAAGTTATTCTATTTTTATGCGGAAGGAGAATTGCTACTATAAAAGTTTCTTTTATTCCAGTTGCGTCGTACGGTTTAGTGCTAGGTATACTAACTCAGTTTTAGACGAAATGGTTCTCCTAAAATCGCATATATATGTCAACGGTTAAGCTTTTGTGTATAGGAATTGATATGATTCATAGATTCTTTATAGAAATCCTAGCATTTGAGTTCCATACCCAGGCCTAAGGTGAAAAGCGATTACATGTTGAAGGTAGTGGAGAAAATAAATTCAACCAATTTTTTAATTAATTAATTTTAAGGCTTAAAATAACATAATTTAACGGCCATTTTTATCTTTATTTTAGTTATAAGCAAGGTTAAAATATGATTAATTATATATATGTTTATTACATATTTACAGAATAAAAATTGTACGGCTGTAGTAAACAGTATTCGTGTTAGCGTGAAAGAGGATTTTAGGGCAGTACCGTAAACCAGATAGGTATCTAACTTTGCTTTTAGAATCAACTATTACTTTGCTTTACGTTTTTAAACTGCACTGTAAAGTCATAAAAAGCATTAAAAATTTTAGCTACAATATGTCAGTGAACACTACAGATTTAATTGAACGACACATTTTTCTGTCAAATTAATTATGCCTATAAATCATTTACAAAATACGGAATTCATGCAAAGTGTAGTGTGTAACTTATGACATTTGATTGTATCAGGTTTGTTCGAATACGATATATTCTAAAGGAAAAATCGATCTGCATTCCAAGAATTTTCTCAAACCGTTATTACTTTTACCATCACGAGGCATTTCATTTCCATATTTTATGTCGTAAATCTTAAATTTAACTCAAAGAACGGTCATATTTCACAAGGTAAAAAGAATTTAGCTAAAAGTTTGAAATACCTTAGAGACAGTTAAATCGTAGAAAAACTTACATTGTGACTAATTTCTGTTTGATTTCGTCTTTGTTGTAAAATTATATTCGAGTTTAATTATATTTATACGGTTTTTGTTTTTATATTATTTTGCAATGTAATGTTTATTTTTTATGGTCATGTTGTATAACATTCTTAAATGTATATACAGTGTAAACGCTTTATAAGTCTCTCTTTATAACGAAACACTCCCTATAATTTAAAAATGAGTTATATTTATTTGGTTTAACCCAATACCCATTCATTACTTCTTCCCTCCCTATAACGAAATATCTATATAACGAATAATAATGCTCCTTTGAAATTCGTTATAAAGAGTTTACATTGTATATGAATAAAGCTATTGTGCGTAAACATAAGTTCAGTGCCTCTAGGAAACTGCTCACTATACCTTGTGACATGTGGCCCAGGGTCGTTATATAACAGATTATTGGTATGGAAAAAAGTAAGACTATTAAACCAAATCATTGCGTCACGGACGAACACAATCGCGTGCCATGCACGCAGCGTTGTAGTACTCGTTTTGTGTGCTTCATACGAGGCGGTATAAGGCAGACTATATTTATTTTTAAACATCTATAACAAATATGCTTTTGACTTGGACTTTCCAAATAACCATTCATTCAATTCGAAATAACTAACCTTAACATAATATGATAACTAAAATATATTATTAAAAGGAGTCCCTTTAGGCAAGGTTCCGAAGATACTGGCAGCGGCCCTTTGAATAGCTAGACTCATTCTTTGTCCATTCATTTATATTGATATCCGCATATTAGGTTACGGCAGACAATAATTTTTTATTTGATTTTCAAGGGATTTAGGCAGAAGGTGACCGCTATGTTTCACTATAATGAACTGGTCACGTAGCTCATTTTGTATTATTTCCCTAGGACGTATCTCGTGACTTGAATATTATAGCGCAGGACCTCTCGGACCCTCAACAAATAAACCGTTTTACGCACGATTGTACCCAGTGATTCATTATTCTGCGTTACTTTTGCTTACTGATTCATAAAATACGCTTACCTAGCTTTGTATTGGATTCAGCTAAAGGACTTATTGTATACATTTATATAATTTTGTTGAAAGATTTTCTTGTGGAAAGCTAGTTAGTTCGCTTCAGTAATCTTAAGCTATGATTGTATATTTTACAGTTGTTTTTTTGGACCATTTTCTAGCTGAATCTGTAACATTTGGGAGGACTTTTTAATTTAAACGATGAATTAAGTAGTGTGATCATAAATTTTTGAGTTTTTGAGAATTTATGATAGTCAATCCATTCGAGATGGCATGAGACAGTCAACCTGATACCGAACAAGCTGCTAAGGACTCGGAAGGTAGAGTCAGTTTAACAAATAGCATCGTCAAAATTTGATACAACTGTAAGAGGCTGTAAGATATTTTCAGATGTAATTTAAGCTAGCATCAACCCACACTCATTATACAGTAAACAAAAATATCTTAAAAGACACCTCAAGGCGTTTCGTAAGATGTGTTCATGTTTATTATCTTCACGTAATGAAATTCGTAGAAATAATATGTTAGATATATTTCAAACGATGTTTTATACACCATTATCAAACGTAATATTTTAAGTCACAAAGCATAAAAATAAATTAAGCGTAGGCAGCTGATCATATAAATCCTATAACTGTAATGTTCCATACTTTCTGCCGTAGCATGGGGAGAGGGGAGAGAGTGGGAAGGAATAATATGAGAACATATGATCAATAATAATTTGAAGGATCAAGTAAAACGCGTCGTTGCATCTCTCTTTCTACATTTTTACTTCCTGACTAGTTCGACTATGTAATGCCTTGTCGCTTCCTAATTCGAATTTTGAATCTTACCTTGGAATCCCACGAAGAGCTGCATGATGCAGGGCGTTGAAGCCGTTATTGTTTGTCAGCGTCATATCTGCTCCATGATCTAACAGCAAGGTTAATATCTCATCTCGCTTCTTCGATATCGCATCCAGCAACGGCGTATCTCCATCCGAGTCCTGAAATTATATTAAATTTGTATTAGTAGATTGAATTGATACAGGTTAATGTTCTGGCTTTACCGTGGACTATAATGGAAATTCCTTTAAAAAATTAAACCAACTACACAACGCACTAAAAAGTTATAAACAATGTTTCTTATTTATATTGATTTTTCTTGATTCTATGAGAATTAATTGTATTTCATGATTTTTAATTCATTTCTGTACGGGGTATGAGAATCATATTACACTATTTTATGGAAGTGGGTCCCGAATAATCCTTGTGATATAATTGCTGTCCTGTCTAATAAGGCAAACTGTGCAGCAGAGTTAGTAAAGTATAAAGGGATTGAAAGATGATACAGCACGAACAGTGCGCTTATTCAATGCTCAGTTACAGTAGTGTAAATAATTGTGGAAGGAAAATGCGTATTTGGATGGAGCTTGTGTTTCTAGTGCTTTTAAAGGCACGCCCCCTGCGCTGCATCAAATGTATGGAAGTTGGTCACACAAGGTCATCTTGCTCATCCAGAGTGGACCGTAGCAATGTATGCTCTAGGTGCGGCAAAGAGGGACACAAATTTGTGAAATATGAGGTAGCACAACATTGGTCATCCAACCCACCACTTCACGGTTTAGTGGGTAGGGCTGTTATAGCGAGTTCCACACCCTGTGCGGAAATGCATTCCCCTCAGTAAAAAAACAGTCAACCTCTCCCATACAGCAGTTGGTTACGCACTTACTAAATGATTTTTACTGCGTTAGAAGATGGCTAAGCTCACTTCGAACTAGACCACAAAGAGTGCCAATCCAAACTCGTCTAGCAATTTTCTAAAACATCAAACCGCCCGAATGAATAATAGACGCGACGCAGAAGGCGTTTAGGGTGTGGATTATGGAGACTTGCATAATTTATAAGCGTCTCTGGTATTAAAACGGGCAGCGTAAGACGCCAGATCTAAGCTAGGATGCGCTCTACGGGCAGAGTATACAGATAATTATGTATTAGGTAAAAAGCGTGGACATTAACATAATCACTGCGGTACGTAGCGCTGTGTCGCTCTGTAAGAGTACATTAAGAGAATTGTTGTGCTCTGTCATTTCTCAATTAATTTGAGAGCGACCCAAATAAGAGTTAATTATGAAAGCTTCGGAATGTTCATTTGAAATTTCAAGGAAATTTTTTAATTAGTTTAAAACAACGTTGTCTAGGAAGCGTTAATTCAGCCTTGTTTAACTTTGGTACACAATCCTGAGAATCAAGAACATCACAGACTACTTTTGGTGTAATTCTAAGAATATAAATTCACAGAGTTTATTTTTTTAATACAACGTTGTATAAACGATCAAGGCTCTCAAATAATTAAGAGGGCAACGAGCGGCTTCATCGCTAACAAGCGTTTTCATTCCAATTCCAATATACAGAAATTTTATAAAGTGATAAAAGAGCGTATCTTCATTACGGTACAATATAAACGTATAGATTCTAAGTTAGCTACCAAATAGATATGCATGTAATAGTAGTTAGTGCTCTCGTTGAGACTTTATTGGTTTGAATGAAATCGCAAATAAATAACTCTACTTGACATAGACGAACTGAAATTAAACTTTATGCAATTTAGCTTAACTAGACAGAATGTGGTATCGACAACTCGACACCGAGTCCAGCTATTAGGCAGTAATTCAGTGGAAGCTCAACCACAGCGTCAGAGTAATTCCGTACAGAATAGCAGCATTAAATATTAATCCCCTTGGCGTATAGATGACCATTACAGCCGGTAATTCATGTCATCCCTGCAATATAATTATATGCTTAACAAGCGTAGTAATTATTTAAATGCTCATATAATTCAAGGTACTAATGAGGTTATCAGTACAATAATCGATTTAGCGCTGATTACACCAATATTGGTGCGGTCTTTACTATAACCGGGCTGCAAACATTAACTGTTTGTTGCTAACTATAAGACGTGATTTATTGATGAAATTTACAATATGTTAATTGAAATTAAATCCGGTACTTTGTAATTTTTAATAGCGATCCCTTAAAATGTTGTTTTTGTATCACGTGATTGTACACAAGGTAACGATATCAGCGCTAGGGATATTAAAATAACTATCAATCTTAAATTGCAAAAAAAAAGTCGGGTTCGCAGACAAAGCAAAAGCGCAGTTTCGATCACTGTTTTTATATAAGGTTTTATTGGCAGTGCTCATTAATCCCGTTTAAAATATAACTATAGTTGTAATTATAAGCATTAAATAAATTAATGGCGCTACAACCTTTTTAGGTCTGGGCCTCAGATTTCTGAATCTGTTTCATGATCATTTGTTAATCTAATAGGCAAGTAGGTGATCAGCCTTCTGTGCCTGTCACACACCCTCCAGTTTTTGGGTTTCCTCACGATGTTTTCCTTCACCGTTCGAGCGAATGTTAAATGCGCACATAGAAAGAAAGTCCATTGGTGAGCCGGGGATTGAACCTACGACCTCAGGGATGAGAGTCGCACGCTAAAGCTACTAGGCCAACACTGCTCTAATTATTAACATTATCATGGATTTTACATTGATTTTTGGTACGAGTCGGATGTGGCGCCATCTTAAAGATGATCAAATATCGTGTGAGGTTACTTCAAAATACTACGGTTACGGTAAGGTTATGTCATCTTGATATTACATAAAAACATGCAAATAAGATGCTGCATCTGTTTTTGATTAGTTTAGATTTGTTAAGTTAATTTGCAGAAGAAATAAATTTCATGATGTAAAACGCGTATACCCGTCAAACAAATTATATATTTATTGCACAGATGCACATGAAGTGTTTAAAACTAAGATATGATTTTCAGACTGGTTTCGTTAGCGGTTCGTTCGTCAACGTAATGGCCTCGCGTGGCTATTTAATATTTTGTCCTCGTCACTCATGTGTCAATTTACTAATAAATAAGCGCGACAAAACATTGTACTCCAATTATCTAATGTCTATCTCGTATTATTTAAGTTGAATTCCCAGGAGTACACTCATCTGGAATGAAAAATATTGTTCAATTGTTGAAAGAAATACTATAATAAAATTGACACAAATGCCTAGTCGCTTCTTCGTACGTCTTCTTTAGGACTCAGGACATAAAACTTGCTATGTTAAACTGTAAGATTAAAATTTTGTGGCATGATAAACTACATAATTCGAAATAAAACCGGCAAACAAAAACGCTAGTAAAATAAATAAAGATAAGAACAATGAGTTGGAAACTTGGCAACGGGAACATTGTGAAAAGAAATTTGGGAGGTTACTGATACCGTGCAGATAACGTACAGTCTGAACCTACCTTTTTAACTCTAATTAAAACATTACATTAATAAAAGGCCGGGCTAACATTTATCTCATCAAAGGCCTGCCCTTACCTCTATAAATAAGACTTATAAAAGATACTATCAACGTTCATAGATCGCTTGTAAATAGCTAATTTAATCCGAAAATTATGCTTTTATCTGGATCAATCTTTTATGTAATCTGTAACTACCATGTATTAAATGTAATATATATAGCGTAAAAACCTGGAGGTTTTGGGTTCAATTCACGGCGAATATTGTTTTGAATTTTAAATGATGCAAAGATCCATCGGTTTTATATCCGGGAGGGTTCGAGACTTCAAAAAAACTCTAGGTCTTTCATATAATGTTCGTATATGTGTGTCTGTGACTCAATAGTGTTAGTCTTCCTGTGTTGTTGTGTTGATCGCTGGATAGTTTACCTTGACATTTACAGACGATTAGCGAGGACTGCCGACAAAACAAAGTTTAGTGTACCTGTTAGTTTCAATTTTATTTTTACCCCGGACTTTATACCCAAAATATTAAAAATCTTCTATAAAACACATTACGCTTTCTATAAAGCATATGATTCGTAGCAATATGTAACCCGTAAATCCATGCTAAGGGTTTTGTAACATAATTTATAATTTCATTATGTTAGATATATATACAATAAAATGTACATATATTTTCACATTTTAACAATTGATTTCACAGACACTGGAACACATTGTATGTGTCCTATTGCAAATCATTCTCGCTTCATAAAAACGTCGAATTGGATCGGCCGTGCATAGATTTGTTAAATTAACTCTTTATTCGTGTATTAAAAATTTAAACTACGAATTATACTATTATCAATTTAATTACATTCATAAATTATTGCCATAAACACTATTTGATTGGAGTAAGTATTTATTAAAAAAACTGAACGACTTGAAAGGTCTTTGTTTTATTAATAAACTAGCGGGCCGGATATTTTTTTTAAATTTTTTGTACATATTGATATGTTCTTTAATAATGTGGGACATTTTGTTCTATTATCAATAGTTTTCGCAGCTCATGCGATAGATAGAAGATATAGGCATTTTTTTACACTTTGGGTAACATTATTGTAGTTTTAGTAGGGTTCCTTATTTTTTTTCCAATTGCCCTATATTAATCATTGATAATGTAGCATTCAAATGGTGAAAGAATTTTTCAAAATCGGTCCAGTACTTTTTGAACCAATTCGTTAAAGACATACTTACACAAAATATTTCCTCTTTATAATATTAGTATAGTTTAAAATAAAATACATTTGTACTGAATGGTATAATTCGCATTTCCATTTTATGATTACAAAGGTACATCATCTTAAACATGGCAATCCAGCATTGTCAACTTGATCCTATACTCGGGAATTGCATAAATAAAAGGCATTATCACAATCCATTAAATTATTGCAAACAACAATGTAGCTCCTATGAAACACTGTTACATGACATATAAACTGATGACAATTGCAAGCGCAATCTAGGGCAAATCTCTATCTGACGAGGCAGAAAGAAAACAACTAATTGTTTAATTCCAAGCCATTTAGTCTAGTATTACGTGAGGATTATTTCCGCGCCATATACCTCGGCATCAGAGCGGCACCATCACGACTCGCGCTGACTTACTATGAAGCCTATAAGACCATTCAGTGATGTTTATGAGATTTATATTTATGAAAACCGATTTAGCTTAATTCATTGTAGATATTTTTGTACATTCTTTACTATTTATGTAGCTTATAGTGTCTATGGTAGAGCTTTAAGTTGTAGAAGTATTTTTATAAGGAATTTTGTTTATAATTAATGGTTACGTTGGTTATGTTTAACTTTAAAATATCCTGCTGTGCCCCACGTAGCATTAGTATTTTTGTGGGGATTATATAAGGGGCCTATCATAATCCCAAAAAAATAAAAATCTTTTAATAGTGTATTAAATTCTACGACATAGATAGTAGATAGCTCACTGATTTGCAGAGGCAAGAATCAGTGGTGTTCCGACTCTAACTTTTATTAAATTAGGCAAAAGGCAATGGATATGTACAGGCCTTCAATCCATTTTTTTGTAATTAATAAATAATTTACTAATTTACTAATATGTATTTCCGGTACGTCGAAACATTTACTACAATTAAAAAGAAATAACTATTGAAATCATTAATCGAGTATACAATAACATACCTAAAACGTCCCGTTAAATAATTACGTAATTCGATATGCAAATGGCTTGTTATGACTAAAATATGACGATTATGAAAACAATAGCTCGATAGGGTAAAAATAAATTCCAACTCGCAATGGAAGTTTGCCAAATAGGGTTGGGTCAAAGTAATTTTAAATTTATGGAAATTCAACAAGAGATAAAATATTTATTTACCGTTTCAGTTCGGCGTGCGAGTAATTAACTAACCGAATTAATTTGCCAATCCATATCAATAGCGTGTATCGATTGGCACAACGAGTTAAGTAGTGCGGCCTCTGCATCGTGCACCCTCATCAGCCGCCTTGATTGATTGTGCGGAATTAAGCCCCCACGTTCCCTACATTGAAACACTCCACTATTTTCTAACTCATAAAACTGAATCGAGTTTCCTCGCAAGTGTTTACGTGGGACTGTAAGTCCCGCGTGGGGACGCGAAAGCTACATTTCTGTATGTTTATCGTGATCAGCCGTTCGTGGCCTTTAAACCAAATATTTTATTGAGGCACACGTGTACGGTTTCTTAGCTAGCTATATACAATCATGAAAAATATAGATCTACTAACAATATTATTTATTGAAGGTATCGAAATGTCTTAACATAGGAGTAGTGGAAATAATAATTACAATCTTAATATATATAAATTACGCGTCACGTTGTTTGTCCGCTATGGATACTTACTAACTCCTAAACTACTTAATAGATTTCCATCAAATTCGCACACCGTGTGCAGTTTGATCTAAATTAAAAGATAAGAGCTTACATACACATATAATTCTACTGTACGTGTGTATGTCACTGAACTCCTCTAAAACAGCAGGACCGATTTGAATGATTTTTTTTGTATGCGTTTGGGTGGAGCCCTAAATGGTTTAGATTCACAAATCAGCCCGGCAGATGGTGCTTCAGTCGGTACTTTCCTACTTTGTTTAATATCCTAATCGCTTGAAATATCATGCAGGACAACGTCTGTCGTGTCCGCTAGTAGTATTATATATTTATCTACAAAAATTCATTTCAGCATAATCATAACACAGGAAACATTATTTATTAAGCAAGAGAAATTAAAGGAGGAGGAATTTTGTAATCTATTTTATCAAATAAAGCACAAATTCATGTAGTTACGCACGCGTTTTGCTACTCGTTAATAAGAACATCGAGATCTCGATTTTTATAGCTTAACGGTTCTCAATCAAACACTCTTATTCAAATACTATTATCCATTAGCGCTGCAATATTTCAACTGCGCGATTCTTTGTTATTCTAGTGGAGCGCAGTGCCGACAAGCACTTTGCTTTAGATATTGGAAAACTGTAATGTACCCTGTGAGATTTAGCACCGAATATCGTCCCAACTCTGCGGTCTGCATTTGTCGCCTTGCATTGTGTAAATCTTTTATATTTGTTTAGCTTTGGATAGGACAATTTTCTTTGAAAAATTATGGTTTTCTTTGATTCTTTTAAAGTATACTTTTAACTCCTTACAATTAAGGTTTATCACCTCTAAATATAACTATTATAAAATAGATGTTATCAGAGAAAATGTTACAAGGTAATAGATTATTGTAAGCACATAAACACAAAAGACAGTGAAATAGCCAATTAAATAGAACTAATCGAAAGCTAAAAAATCGCAGTAAAAGTTTTCCAACTTTGAATTAAAGAAGACTCAAACTTCAACTGCAGACATGCTAATTCATAATAGGGAACGGAACTTCAGAACTATAATTTCAAGCTAAATACCAACGAGACGTCATTGCAATGAATATTTGTAATCTATACTTATAAAATGGTTTTAGATTTCTGTAAAGGATCATAAGACTTTCAAGATTAAATAATGCTTAGATGTTTTTATACACAAGAAAAGCACTGATCCAAAGCAATTCAAATACCTAAACAGTACTTGGAAACGAATAAAGGTTTGTATAGCAGTCAAACACTAAGCCTCGTAGACAACTTTTATAATATTATAAATGCCAAAATATGTTCCTATCCTATAGAATATGCACTCTAAGTAGACATATTAAAAATATAAACAAAACGAATTTGGAGCAATTTGTAGCCGTATATGTCAAAGAAGATTTTTCATTAACTTCAAAAACTTCATACCACTCACAAACTGCACAGAAAGCTTTGCGACGCATAATTAATAACGTATACGAAGATTGTCTGTGCTTTCAGAGGCAAAATTTTTGTTTAACATAAATGGTGCATGTATATAGTTAAATAAATATTAATTAATTAATATTAGAGTGAGCCACTACCGAGCTTAGCTGTTAGCTAGTTATATATAGCCTGCTAATCCATGGTCTAAAACATGTTATTTAGCGGCTTTACGAGCTGGGGTATTAGTTATCGTTAGAACTAATCCAATCACTTGTTACTATTAGCGCTATACATCGCAGAGCTTAATGTCATGAAAGAGGGCATAGAAAAATTGCTACACGACAGCTTTTATACTCTATACAAATAGTGTTTATTTACTGAACAAAATCTAGTTCTATGAAAACCTCCGACTAACTATGTAAAAAGATTTATTCTTTGTGTCAACGTATATAATAAAATCCCCTTGCGCAATCAAATAAACCATTACAATTATTTAAAAAATATTACTAAACCAATACATATTTATTCTATTAGCACTATGTAACATTCTTATTGATGAAATAGTTAGTATAGTTTATGTAAGGAAATGTTGTAATGATTTTAATGAGAAATAAATCTTACTGTATATTCAATGAAGTCAAACGTTTCTCTCAATGTGAGTTTATTACGATTTATTATGTGGCGGTTCACCAACCAGATGGACCGATTAAAAAAATACTCATCATTCTCAAAAATTTACCCAGTAATAAAAGAGGCGCTGGACTACAATCAGATAGTCCGCTCCAGATGTTTCCTTGCCAACCATGACGATCAGACACGAGATACCGACTGAAGAGTGTATAATTGTATATACTTTCTACACTAACAATCATTCCAACATATGAATTTTTAGACCTAAATAAATATTTGACCAAAAACATCGATTTTTATATATTTCACTAACTTCGTTATAAGCATATTCACAGTCGTCATAACATTTTTTTTTTTTCAATCATATTGGAATAACAAGTTTGTATAAAAACGAATAACATCAATTATTTCCGTCTATTGTTGCCATTCAATCGAAAAGACAGTAAAAACACATGCCAAATGCAATAACCGGGCACCTAATATATGTGGGTCCTCTATTCCAATAACAATCCGCGAAGTTCGGAAACATTCGGAAATGGAAGTATTTATTAGGTGAATATAGCCTGAGATCGCCGAGATTACGTAGAAAGGGACTTTTTCCAACTATGGCCGTAGTACGCACAGGTGTGTACAATGTTAGTAGTTCAAACAAATACCAGTGGGCGAAAATTTTCACTTAACTTCTATAACTTATTACGTAAACCAACTGCGGCGTTGTTTTAAGGCTTTATTTTAAGTAATATTTAACTTGTGTATTTATGGAAAGTGTATTCCTCTGTTTTTTTTTTTAAAGACAATTCACACCAATTGACCTAGTCCCATGCTAAGCTGGTGAAGCTTGTGTTATGGATACTAGGCAACGGATATACATACATATTATACATAGATAGACATATAAATACATATTTAAACACCCAAGACCTAAGCACAACACCAAATGCTCATCACATCGATGTTGGTCTCAGCCGGGGATCGAACCCGGGACCCATGGATTCGCAGTCAGGGGTACTAACCACTAGACCAATGAGTCGTCAAATAAAAAATAAAAAGAATCGTAATAGTCGTAAAATAATCGTCGTTATTATTAAAACGATTTTGATTTTTTATTACTAAAAATAAAATGGATACCCAACAACGGATTAATATACTTTTGTTTAATTCTAAATTCCACATACAGATGGGGTACATAGTAAATTCAAAAATTTCTTGAAATAAAGCTTGTTGGTAATACAAACAAAGATTTCAAAAATTGCTTATATGACAGCTATCGACTCTCCTAAGGAAAAGGCCTGGGTAATAAAATATAAAGGCGAGTGACGATGAAAGGAAACATAAAATTTCAGGTGACGTCGGCCTTTCCATAAATTTATCGACAGGTCGTGGTAACAGGCTATAAGAAAATATTTATGAAGTGAAACGGAGCGGCGCAACTTTCATTAGCTAATTATTTAACTTGGCTACGATGTTCTGGTGGCTTTTGGCTTTCACCTTAACGAATTTAGGATTTGGGTATCTTTTAATACATTATGTAACGAAAACATAGCTGTTAGGGTCAGCATATACACATACTCTTTTAAACGTACTATTATAAAATAACTTTTGAATTTCTCGTAATATTTTTGTATCTAAAAAACCGGAAGGAGACAAGGAACAACATTTTTAGAAATATTTAACACTTAGAATATGTTTATATTGTAGACTAGATGATATTATAAGACAGTATTTAGAGAATATTATATTAAATAAATTTTAACATTACCTATTTCTAGTATTTTTAAACCAAGATTTACATAGTCCATAATATGAGCGCTATAATAATCTGTAGTAACGTACATACGACTGTGTTATTTTTCAATTTCATCAACAGAAATAGAATTCCAATGCGAAAGATTTGTTTTTCAATTTAAAATCGAAATCGACTTCAGCTAGCTACGATAAAAAATCAAAAGGCCATTTATTGTTGCCATAATGGTTTTTTCGTATGTCGTGAAAAGCTCGTTGTTCGGTGTGACGGTCTCCTCAATGGCACTGCGCCGTTCCATTGATCAAAGCAAGCGAGCCTTGACGGATATTGGCGGAAATGGAAAAACAAAAGATTCTCACTGACGACGATGGAAAACGTCATCTATACAATCGATGTAAAGCTTTATATCTAAGAAATATTTTGTTATTGCAGTGATTGGGACTATCCTATTGCGAGTACTTCTTTTAAAACATTAATAGTACATCACTGTATAATTAAAACATTAGAAGGCTCGATTATTCAATCCGTCTATTATATGTCTGTTTTAAGCTATACTCGTTCTGAAATAGCTCAATCAGTGGAGCAGTTCGACTCGAAACTTCGAAGGTTTTAGATTTAAAAGATCACAGGTTATCCTACTATTTTCTCATTAGATATGACTCTACGTTAATGAGAAATTACGCAACTGGGCATGCTGACTTTTAACTTAGTTTATTTCCTGACCTATTATAATTGTTGACAAAAGCGGGTTCAATTTGCAGGAGACAATGAGAATGAAATGAGGCTGAGCGTCTGCCTAGTACGCGTAGTGTTTAAC